AAAGCACCCTCACCCAGTTTGTTTTTTGATGAAAAGCTATTCGTAGCAGCCAGGATAGATGAATATGTAAACAGTCTGAGATCATGTCCCTTTCTTCCATCGTAGTCAAGTTCATCATTGTCTGTATATTCCTCTAGGGTTATCATTTTCTCAAGTTCTTCCTCCATTTTCCCTGTAAGATAAGATGATCGCCAAAATATCAACATAATAATGGCAATGAATATAGTTCAAACATGGAAAATCTAAGAGTTATCAGAAATGTACCTTGTTTAGTTTTACGCATGATGAACCATGAACTGCCCAACAATAGCAGAACTACTGTAATCACCACAGCAATGATTATCCAAATCATTTTCTTCTTTCCTGTCATTCATCATTTGCTTATAGTGAATCAGACTGATTATTTTCTTTTCTTGGATATTAACTTGAGGAATTTTACAAATAGGTGCAATAGTACAGTACGACCTGAATCACCTTTCATCATCCAATTCAGAGCAATCAGTATTATTTGACCTCTAGCTTCGATAGATGAAGGTGATCATAGGGAGAAAATAGAATTATGGATGGAATTAGTTACTGGGGAAAGTCAATATAGTTCCAATGTCAAATCGGGATATCAACTAGGACAGAAGTAAAGCATTGTGTCAAACTCTTCTTTGGCTTCAAGGTAATAGCTATGAATAATCATCAACTAATGAGAAAGAGTAGAAGATTAGGACCTATTATGCGGCATACAATGTATCACAGACATATGATCATCACGCTTCAACCATATTGATCTATTCCTCCTCTTAGAAGGGAGTTTATGATTTGACCATCAAATTTCTTTATAAATCTAAAATATGACATTGCAAAAGAAATGGGATTTCACTTATAAATGAATTTATATCAAATGGCTTTATATAATCCAAATCAAATGCTAGTTATGTGGATTTTGATATAGTATTTCCTTTGCTATCAGTTAAAAATGGACGATGCTAGTGTTTTTTGGAAAGCTGGAATAAAATTTATGAACTTACCTTTGTTTGCTGGCTCAGGGATGAGAACATATTTATCAACTTCCGAATGATCAAGACTCAGTTCAAATGTCGAATATTTCCCTTTCCAATATACACATCCAGATTTACTACCTGCTGTATAGCCCACACATTCGCAGTCGTTCCAGCAGTTACCTCTGCAGTCGCTCTTAGTAAGGCTTGAATTGTCATCATAAACGGCATATGAATCAGTTATTGGAAGAAAATGCCCAGATCTCAAACTAAACGTCTCTCTGTGATTCCTGCACTTAGGCTTCTCCCAAAATTCGCAGCCTTCTCTGGTGTTATAACCATAACAACGACTCACATCTGAAATTATCCGCACCCCGTTATGATCGATTATGGAACCTTCAGAGTCCAGCTTCCATCCAGAATTTTTTAGTTTTTCAGGTGTGAGAACGGGGTCTATTTCAAGGGAGTAGCTCATATAATCCTCATCATCATTTGTGACATTGACAAAATTGTAAATGAAATTATATGGATCATATCCATCGCCTATATTCTCAAATTTCTTCAGTTTCAAATCTGGTCTGTCCTCATCAATATAATCCTTCAATTCTCCACTGGTCCAATAAGCCACCTCTCGCCGCCTTACAATCAATCTGTGTCTGCTTGGATCCCATTCAAGCGTAAAAGCTCCGGCTACAGGATTAATC